GGCTCCCGATGTTCTTGCCAAACCCAAATGTGTTTGCAGATGTGTCTCGGTGCTGGAAAAATATTCAGATGTGACCTTCTTATCGTCAACCAGAGAAATACACAAAATGAAGCCTTGAGTCAAACAAAAACCTTTTTTTTTTTGGGGGGGGGTAATGGTGTGACACCGAAGCACGACTTGGCTGGTCCCCGATGCAGGAACAATTTACAGCGAGAAAGCACGAATGCACGGAAGGCACGAAGGTAATAAACTAAGGGCGTGGCCGAGCGAAAGTACAACTGGTTGGATCGGAAGTTGAGGTTTGAGTTGTCCGTTCGATCGGAAGTTGTATATGTGCCATTATATGGCTACTCACCCTGCCAAAGGCCGTCATTTTCGCGCGCACCTTCCACAAAAAAATATAAACACCTCACTCTGCCCATGGTATTTGTGGACACCCCTCCCACAATATATAGATTATAAATTCATCACCCTGTCAAAGTCCAATTTTATATACCCTGCACCCGGGCAACGCCCACCTTACTTGCGCACACCTTTCCACAAAACACATTTTATTCAGGCGTTGTGCATTTTCGACGCCGAAATGTGTTCGCAATGCGGTTTTTTGTGCGTTTTTTTAAACAAAACGGTTCAAATGTTTGGGACCACTTGTTCTATGACGTAGCATCACATATGTTTGCAAACGCAAGTAACGTCAATAGAACCCCACGCCACCCCCACCCTATCGAAAACATAGCATCAAGTGTGTTGGCAAGTGGAAGTGACGTCGATGAAACCCCACCCCCACCCACCTGTGACGTAGCGTCAAGTTGTGTGCAAGTACAAGTGGCTTCCACCACACCCCATCCATGACATAATAAGACCACCCCACGCCACCCCATCTATGACTATTCAAGCAATGTTGGTATCTACTGGCTGCATTTCTCTCACCTAAACGCGGTTGCCAATGCTTCATTTTTTTAGTTTGGCATGCTTCAGCCTCACACGCGAATCTGCAAAAAAGGGTGCGCGCAGCGATGTGACCATCCATGCCCCTTTTTGCAAGTCCAATTTCCGTGCGGTTTTTCAACGAAACCCACCTGATTGCGATTTGAAACCCGTGTTGCAAGCAGCCCTTCCCCTGAAAGTCCGAGGAAACCCAAGGGCAGGATGCGCCTATGCATTGAAATCGTCTCCAATGATGGCAAGACCTCCATCATGGACACAGTTGTCCAGCCGGAGGTTCAACAACTCATACATTTCATCAACTACACCGTTGTCATCCCAAATTGTGGGGACGTAAGTGGACAACACGCGGACATTGCTGTTTGCGTACCGGAATTGCCGGGCACATTATCCTGGCAGGCATGAAAGGCCAGCTGTGTGATGCGAGAATGCAGGGAATAGTGCCGCACAATGCCAACACTACGGTGTTGGCCACCACCACTCCATCAACAATACTGCCCATCCAAGGATTCAAATAAAACGACCCACATGTTAAACATGTAAAAAACATTAAAGACATGTAAAACCTGACAAGGAAAAAAGGACGGAAAGATACTGGACGAAAAAACGTGAGATGAATGCAGTGTTTTCAGTGGTGTGTGGTGAGGGGTGTCTGATGAGTGCTGCAGTTCCTCCTGCTCTGTGCCCTTCGCTTGCCACACGAAAGGCACGCGGCAGCTGCCACGTTCACTAAGTGCTGTGCTTGCCACGAAATTTACACGACAGGCACCCGCGGGCCAGCGAGCGGCGACCAAGCGTCCACCCAGTCCTCCTGAATCCTCCGTGCGCAGCGCCTGCCACGAAATCTGCGCCCCAAGTTCACCCAAAGCTGTGCCACACTCCAGGTTCACCAAGTGCAGTGCGAACATTTGATGAGTGGTGTAAGATGAGTGGACGTGATGAGTTGTGTGAGATGCGTGGAGTATGACGAGTGGATGTGATGAGTGGTACAAGATGAGTTGTGTGAGATGAGTGGTGTAAGATGAGCAGTGTAGGATGAGTGGTGTAAGATGAGTGTAAGATGAGTTGTGCGAGATGAGTGGTGTAAGATGAGTGGTGTAAGATGAGTGCAGTAAGATGAAGATAATGGTGTAAGATGAGTAGTGGAGGGGCGGCGGCGGAGGAGGCGGATGCGGAGCGAAAAAACAAGAACCGCGCATAGTGATGTGGGGAAAATATTCGAACAGTCTGGATGCCAAGTTTCTGTCGCACGAGAAATTACAAAAACCACCTGCCAATTCAGCAAGTGAAATCCTGAAAACGCTCTTCAGGCCTGATGCTTAGCATTTGTCACAATGTGCATCTGAACAAATTCATTCACCAGTTCGTCCATGTCATCCACTGCTTTTAGTAAACCACCACGGGAAAGTATATAAACTATGATTCACCCTTTTTCGACACCAATCCCTACTCCAACGATGCCTCACAGTCCGCCGTGACCGTTTTCATTTCGTCGCCGACCAAACCATTGTGTTTAGCCCAATGCACCATGCCATCAGCAGTGGCCGTGGCGTACATGGAACCACTGGTAACCGACAACCACGTTCTGAGCTTCATGGTGGTCATATTCAACCAACCGAGGCCCACAGTTTGTTGTCTGCCATGTTTTGGTTAAACCTGTGTGTGCAGATGTGCTTAATGGCGTTGGCTGGCATGTCAATCTTGGCAAAAACCATCGCGGGTGTCGTGTCGGAGTGGTGGTGTAGGCGAGTTGAAACGCAGGCGCACTGAACAGAACCGCATTTGACTTTGTTATTTTCCTGCAGTTTCTTCGTTGTCCAGGTCCGTGAATACCTGTTCTTCCACAACTTTGGTGTTGACACGTTGCTTGGACAACTCCAACTTCTCCAATTGTTTCGTTTCACCTTCCTTTCTTCACGCAACTCGTCATGCAAACAATTGATTCTGCCATTTTTGCCTCAAAGTCCCTAAACGAACTGCTCAATTCCTCCCGCGTGGTTGTGAGTGCGGCAATGGTCAATGGTAGCTGCACTGATAGCAACTCTGCTGGTTTCAATCTGGCCACCTGGATTTCCAAACTGTTTGCTGCCTAGAGCTGGTGGCACCATTTCCGTTGCTGCCTAAGCCCGGGCCAACGCCTTTTTGTCCGGCGTTGCGCTCCCCGTTTTGTTGCAGGTTCCTCGTCGCTCAATGAGGAATTTGATATTGTCAACGAGCCTCTCTCAGAGTCCCGGGCAAGTCTTGCCAACTTGCTACTCAGGAAACTGCGTTTGTATCTTCATATCGTTGGTATGCCTTACTTCCTGGTGTTTTGGGATTGTCGGTTTGGATCTTGATTTCATTGCTTGGGTCTTATAAACAGTGATTCAGCTCAGCAGACAGCGGCGTGCTAAAGATCGAAGCGCTCCCCAACATTTGAACCACATAAGCTTGAACCAAAACAGTTTGACTTGAACCAAAGCAGGCGCGATTTTACATTTTTTAAAACAAGTTTTGGGGTCATGGCTGCTTGGCCTTCCAAATTTAATTGCTTGAGATTGCGTAGCGTTGTTCATGTGCGCAACTTTCAAAAACCCTCCTCAACAATGCTGATGCTCGTCGTCGGAAACGCGTGGTTCAAGAGAAGTTGGTTGTGCTTGATTCCTGCATTCCGTTATTATTTTTTTTGGTGTTTTGCTGCGACAAAGTCATAGCACAGAAAACATCAGAAAACCAGAAGGCAACACGATTGCCATAAATCTGGCTCTGATGGCCTCTTTTGGCCCTAGCGGACTGCCTTCTTTGAATGTTTACGCAGCTCTCATGGGAAAGCTGTTGCCAGCGTTGTTCAACACAGCCCTTCTCCCACACTGGACGTGTCCACCCAACAATACGATGGCAAGAAACTAGGTGTTTCATGTTTTTTGGCCTTGGAACTCGCAGCATCTTCGAGTAAACCTTCAATGACGTGCTTTCTGCCTACCCCGGCGGCTTGGCTTGGACTTGTCGCTCCACATGCCCGTCTGGATGTTGGCCGGCAAAATGGCAGTGTAGACCCGGATGCATCAAAAAACAAAAAACGAGACAATACCAAATCGCAGACGGCATTGACAGGCACTTGAGGTGACGCATGTCTGCGTGGCTGTTAGCTCAATGCGCGCACACAACACTTTCTAGCTTACGTGCTTTCTCGTCAAGGCCGTCACGGTTTGTTCACATCTTTCAGACTGCGTTGCCGCCCGAGCCCGAGAAGCAAGCGGCCAGAAAACGGGCTCTTCGAGGACGGACGTTCTCCGGTTCCTCGGCTCCTCGCTGCGTCGGTCCCCTGCGGGGAGAGGGGGGCTGCGCTACCGGCGAGGGGCGCACCGTGCGACCGCGCGGCGAGGCTTCCGCGGAGTGACGCCGAAAACGCCCTCGAACACTGATGGGTTGGGCCTTCGTTCCTTTGGGCCGGGTCGGCGTGACTCTTTTGACTCGTTGCTAGAGGATGTAGCGCGCCCGTCGCGCCAACTTAGTACACTGAAGGAGGAATTTCAGGATGATCCCACTGCTGTAAGAGAAATACATTGACCGTTGCCATCCAGTGACGGATCTTGCGCTGCTGAACTGCGTGGCGAGAACATCTATCTACGGCGCTCACAAGTGAGCAGGGTACCATTTGGACGTCTCCCGTCTCCTTTTTAAGCTTGGGTTTGACGAGGGATGTCTTGTGTGGTTTTTGTTGATGCACGGGCTCGGTTGTGTGGCCAAGAGCCGTAGCGTTTCCATTCTTGTTTGGGTATGTCCCCAAAAATCATGTTTGCATATGTTATTTGGAGGGTGGCTCGCGGTATCCCGTCTGATGCGGGAACGCATGTTTCTATTTTCCTTCTTCTTTCCTCCCCAGCGCTGCTGAACTCCAAAAACGCCGTTTGGAGCTGGGTCACTTCGTCGAGACTGCGCCGTGCGGCGTGTGGCAGATGAACCATCTGATGTTCGTTGCTTCACACCACCTGGGGCCACTCAACCCCCTTAGGAGCGCGATGGGACCTTCTGTGTTAAACTATGAAAGGAGACTGGGTTGTATTGACTTGCAGGCGCTTCGGAAGTTGGAAGTGCAAGTGGCAAAAGAAAAGCAGGCCGCCGACTTGCTATCGATATGGTTCTTCCAGGGTTCGAAGTGGGAGGTTTCTTTTTTTTGGATACACACCGCCCATCAATCCCTTTTCCATCCGGAGCGTTCCTGGAACGTTTTTTTGTTTATTTTTTTTTTTGGGGGTCTCATTGGCCAGGAAGCCGCGCGAGAATCCTTAGTCGCCAAGCCGGGCGAGGTCGGCCACAGTTGTGACTCCTTGTTCTTTGTGACGCTCATCGCTGGGTCGCCTCAGGGCCGACAAACACATGAAGAAACTGCAGGTCTGAGATTGAGCGAGCGGGCAGGCAGGACAAGGGTCTCGTTCGAACAGATGTTGAGCAAACGGATCAGGTTTGTTCATGCTGTGGTGTCAGGCCGGGTGGCGAACCGCGAGAAACGCCTTGCTGAAGACGAAGCGGCGGGATAGAATCCGAAAATGGCTACGACTCTATTTTGTCCCGCTTTTCTTGCAGGCTTTGTTGCGACGAGAGAACCGGATTGCTGAAAAGGAAAAGAGGCGCGTCGTCGTTTCTATTCTCCGGTGCTGACGGCTCTGCATTTGTCCTTGTCAGGATGGAGGGCCGTGAACGTGATGTCATGGAGGCGTGCATTTTTCGTTTCAATTGTGCCATGTGCCGCCCAGCACGCTGAGGCAGAGGGCCGGAACATGCGGGAATTGGCAGCAAGGAGGCGGAGTTGAACGGAGGGGTCACTGTTTTGGAGGGAGGTGGGTCGCCAGAAGCAGCTTGCACCCTGAAAGGCGGCAAGCAGAGTTGAGGGAGTTGCGTGTGGCTGACTTGGAGAGCCGGCTGGCAGAGGCACGCCAGACAGTTTTGTGGGTAACGCGCTCCTCCGAAGGATGTTGATGTGCGTGAGGCGTGGCGTTTTCGCTCTATGCCCAAACCAGGCTGGGTCTCATCTCCAGATTACTTAGGTCAGAGAGACTCATGGGGGGCGTCCAAATGGGACCCCGTTAGCTTCATGCACTCTTAACCTACTTGAACACTACTCTTAACCTATCTTATCTAACTCTTAACGTGCTCTTAACATACTCTTAATCTAGTCTTAACCACTCATAACTACTCATAACCACTCATAACCACTCTTAAGCACTCACAACCACTCATAACCACTCATAACCACTTCAGATGTCATTGCTAAGCGACTTTGGAGACCCGTGGTGTTATTTCGTGTCGTTCAGTGGCGTAGGACGTGAGTCAGTGATGGCTCAAGTTCACTGGCATAAAGTGTCAGTGTTGGTGGTAAACGGCCATCGATTTGCTGTTCATCCCCGGAATGGGGACGAATGCAGTTACAATGGGGAGCACTTGAGCTATGGCACGCTCTGAAAGCAGATGTCCCGCTGCCACTAGTTCCTACTCCTGAGGAAAAGCGGACTCTTCGTTCCTTGTTCGACAATTATATAATTCATCCAAATAACAATAATGCAGTATTCAGTTAATTAAACAGATAGGTTTTAAACAAAAGACTAAAGACTCTCACGAAAAAACTTGTGTACTAAAATAACTTGAACTGGTACTTGAGTGAAACGAGCCTGAACTGACTGATTCCTCTGGGACTCAACCTTTACTACTGCGTGAAGCAAGAGGTTCAATCATCGATTGGAGTCCATCAAGGCCTACCATCAGCTCATGTGGAATGGACAAGATCCTCAGATATTGGAATCTACCAAAAGCCGCTGGGAAAGTGTGTGCTCTGGCCTTGAAATCCAGTTGGATTCTTTTGGTCTAGTAGGGTCGTACCAGGTACCGCCAGTTACCCGCCCAGGGTCACTACATGTTAGTTATAAGATAGTGTGGTTAAACCGACCGACTATTTTCATTTTCATCAGGACGCCTCGCAGGTGTTTGTGGAGAAGACTATCCTACATCACTGCTACTGGCAATGATTGGGTGGGGCTTGCACAATGGACGGATGGTGCCGGGTGTGCGCATGTCAGCAGTGAAACTGCTTGATGGGGTTGTTCGACTATGCATGAAGACTGCTGAATTCCGATTACTCATGAGAACAGATATCAGCAGAGGACTAGTGTCACTGAACTTGCATGTGTTCTCTCTCTATTCTTTTTTAATTGTCTGTCAGTGAGTGGGAGTCCAGTCCGGGGCCGTGTTTGTCAGACCAAATCTTTTCAACTTTTCATCGGCTGCAGGATCCGGCTCCGAGATGATGTCGTTCATGCTGCAGCCTGGCGATCACTTTCCTTTTCACTACGTTCTGCATCATGCATCAGCTGACGATATTATTCGGCTCAGGACACAAAGGTTCCATTGGGTGAATGCGCCACCTCGTTCTGCAACATTGGCGTTTGTGGTTGCATTTTGCTTGGACCCGAAACTCTTCTTAAACCATAGTGAATTGCGCAAAAAACCAATCATGATGTATTCAATTGTTGATTTTGCCTTGCCCTGAGCCCGCCTGGCGCAAACCGTCCAATGAGGAAGCGTCCACGTGGTGGCATTTGGGATCGGCTCCGGTCCATTGCCAATGCCTTCTTGGCTCAAGTGGCTGCATTTCTGGTGTTTTGGCTGCAATACTCCAACCTGGTAACTTTGGGCCCATTATGAGGGATTGATTAATCCTTATCTCAAAGTTTCAAGTTTCTGAAGCTAAGTCCTACTTGAATTCTACACGGACGATCCAGGACCTTCACGTGCATAAGATGGTCGAAGTGAGCCCATTGAAGAGAAAGCCCCGAAGCAAGATCTCAATCGAGGACAGATTCCAAATTGTCAAAGATGTGCGAGATGCCAGGCCAGACTGCAAACAATTTGATGGGTTTCGTATCCAACCAAGTTTGAGTGGGTACTTGGTTACCGGTCGAAACTGATAGGTGTTTCACCATTGCCAAAGCCTGCATTGCTGCGCATGTCAAGCTGAACACTGCACAAATCTGCCAATGGACAATGGGCTGATGCTTAAAACAGTCCAAATTTATTGCGTCATTGCATGCCTTCATTATGCAAACCTTACTCGGTTTCAAGTCACCAATCAGAAATAAATCAGAAACATGCGCCTGAGGAATCGTACATCAGGAAGATGCAGCATGTCTTCAATGACTCCTTGCACCTGCAGGTGCCACCAGTTAAACAAGAAAACTGCTGATTGCGTGATCATGGCAATAAACACACATGGGAAACAAGTTTCAGAGTCTCATGATCCAGGTATCCTTTGATGGCTCTTCAATTCAGAAGGTCCCAGTCGAGCTGTACAAGGTACATTGTGGCTGGTCTTCACTAATTAAACACTTGGAAATTATGACCAACAAAAAAGCCTGAACACGCATAGCAATTAGATTTTCGTATAATGTGGGCGCATGCGACTTGCAGTTTCTAACAGTCAATGAACGTTTGCTTGATTGAAAGCCAGCTATTTTGATATTTTTCTGAATCACTTGAGTCAAGGCAGCACGAAGAACATCAGCGCCTATGCCCCTCCACTAGCACCTCGGGTCTTAATTAGACTGCCGGGATCGCTCAAGACGCCCCAGGAATCCAAACAACCCAGGACAGACCCGGGAATTCTCGGACATGATCTCAAGACCGCAGCCGTTTCTCTTCAGATTATTGTTTGATATATTTGAACCCAAATATATCATTTTCATTCAATGCCCGCTGTTAGCCTATTAGCATGATTGATTCAATGGTCCACTGTAAATTTCTTTTACTTTTGACTCTGACGTCAGTCAGAACAGAACAGTTGGTCTGTCTGGCTGAATCCGTTGAACTGATGGCATGTGCGAACACCAATCCGGCGACGCCAAATTCAGTGATGAATCCACGCACTCCGGCAGCTGACGCGCAGTCGTCGACACTGGTTTCCGACATTGGTCCAACCCAGAGCTCAGCGTTCGGAGAGGAGTCCTGTCAGTCCTGTCAGTCAGTCAGTCAATCAGTCAGTGACTTATTTTAATTTTGCAATGATGTATGTCAGGCAGTGAGAGTCATGAGTCACTGGGCCCTAGTTTAATAGCATGAGTGACTGACTGAACACTATTATTAGCCTGCCGGTCGCAGGAGCATGATTGGGGACCACTTGAGCGAGCGATGTTGTGGCAGAGGCAATTCCGATGGCAGTGCTTAAAGAGACTTGGCTGATAACTATACAACGACTAACAATTTTTTTTGGTTAGTTGTTAAAGTTTAGATTAATTAAAAGCTGTTTAAATTAATTGACAGAGACAAAGATATCCTAAGGATTCGTATCTCAAGCACGCAGATTCCGCCTCATCCTTCTGCAGTGGTTGCGGCGCGGCAGAGATGTCCAGAAGCATCTTGCAACGAGACATCAATGATTCTGGCAAAGCTCCTTTCCATGTCAGCATTCCGACTGTGATGATGTGGGAGCCTTTACTACATTGAAATAATATTTATTGTGTTTCAAACCTTATTGAACCCAGCTTTTGATTGTTCAATTGAGTGCTTCAGTCCCTGGTATTTTTTATTTGACTGACTAAGGAATACAATGCAGCGTGCCAGCAACTCTGCAAAGAAGCTCTCCGCTGGTCAGCTGCCGTGGTGGGGGAGGATCATAGTGGCTGTTGCCGTTTTGGCAACATTGAAGATCTGCTTCCATTTGGCACCCTTTCAAAGAATGACCCATACAGCAAGAAACTTCAGGCTAGCACCTCTGCTGAAGTTGTGCCTAGGAGCCGCTGCTTCGCACATGGTTCGCCATGTTCCACAGAGAAGATGCCAGTCTTTAGCGTTTCAGGTTTACCGTGCCCTGATATGTCCGCCTGTGACCAATGCTAACAGTTTAATGGGTGTGTTTTTCAATTTCAACCGTTTGATATCACGATTGAAAAATCCAGTGTGACGGGAAACTGTTCAGGCGGTTGTGTTTGATAACCGCTTGCAGGAGTTGGACATGGGTCTGATGAAAGACTGCCATCCAGACCATGAATGGTACCAGCTGTTCTGCGATCCTGGGGTTGCAGGCTTCAATGCCACGGCACGGCGCCGTACATGGTGTATAGGCGCTCACAGAGATCTCAATTGCTGCCTTCGCGACCCATTCATCCTGTTGGAGGAGATTGACCAGCGCATCTCGAATCTGGTGCAGCTTCGAGTGGAGGAATACTTAGTCGCATCAGCTGAGGAGATTTGGACTGAGGGCGCTGTGCTAGCCGCAAAGAGAGGTGTGACATCTTTTTCGAAGACAAACTGCCAGTTTACGCAAATTTTAACTACTCGCGAGCTCAATACAGTGAAGGCTCTTGATGAGAAATGCAGACAAAAATATGGAATGGATCCAGAATCAGATCGAAGTCTCACCTATTTTTTTGGGTGATGGCCCTGCGTTCTGCTGTTGGTCAGGGAACTCGGGACAGATACCTACTTACAGGAGGAATGCGAGATCAGGACTCTTTTGGCTACCAGCGCACAGCCGGTGGTTGACCAATAAGGAAAAATTACTTTCAATGGGTTTTCCAGTCAGGCCGGAACAAAGGCAGGCTTTGAAATGCGAAAGTTTGGGGACCCGGGACTATGAAAGGGCCTCAGACATGATTGGAAATTGTTTTCACTTCCAGGTGTCTGGAATTATGCAACTTGTGGCTCTGTCTTGCTTCGGGCCCAGGGAACAGGACCAGTTTGAACAGAACTAGGTGGCAGGAAAACAAGTGCGGTGCACTAAATTCAGAAGTATTTCAAGTGTTCCTCAGATTCCACAGATTGAAATCAATTTAATGGTGGTTCAGAACCTCACTTATACGTCACTACTTCGGTCCTAAGGTCATTGAATGACAGTTGACGATCATGTTACACTTTAGAGTAGCAGTGAATCACTGTCAATTTAATTTAATTGCCATGCTCACTTGAACAGTATTAGTCGCTGACCACTGTCTGTTGTTTATTGCTCCCAAGGTCTGACGCTCAAGCGCTTGTCACTGTCTCAGTCGAGATTCCAACACTCGATCAGAGCGATCATCATGGCAGCAGGGGTCCCACTATTCTTTGCAGACGGGACCCAGCTCGTTGAACGAGGGCCAGATACAGATGACGATCAATCTTTGCCCACGTCACGCCCAAGCAGAAGCAGTAGAGCCAAGGCGAAAGCCGGCAATCAGCCAGTAGGACGTTCCAAGCGTGGCAAAGGCACGATGCTCTCTTCAAGCTTCACCTCTTGGAGACTGACGCCTGTGACTGACTTGGAATTGAGTCAACATGTTTCTATGTGGGAACATGTTTAAAATTTTCAGACACCAAATGGGACTCAGTTAGTAAATCATCAGAATAGTCCAAGGACTGCCATCTCAGAGACTTCATGATGGCCGCCGAGCCTACCAAGTGCGACAAAGCCAAGGTCACAAATGCCTATTCATCGAAGATCACCCGCTTGGCGTTCTATGGGATGTTTAGGAAGGGTGAGAATGAGCCCTTAGACACGCTACTTGTCGGTGATTGATAATTGATTTCGCCATTATAAATAATAGCATTGATTGTCTATTGTTAGCTCGGTAGGGTTTTTAAGGAACCATAGATTGACTTGATTTGGTCAGGATTGGTTGCCAGGCTCGCGAAGGATGATTTGAAGAATGATCTACTTGACGCCTACGAAGCCAACGGTAAGCCAATGAGCCAGATTTCCTTTATGGATCTCGTGAAGGGGGTGGAAGTCGAGCTCAGCAAAAACACCAAATTAAAACTCATGAAGGTCAGCGACTAGTTATTTATTAAAAGCATGTTTTATTGCTAGTGATGACTGATGTACCCATTTTTTAGTTTCTTTATTATTTTATAATATCTAATTTGTATTTTTTAAATTAAAAGCGGTCTCAGGCGACGGCCAGTGGATGCTTGAATGCTGCGGGCAAGTGCGATCCTTGCCTGAGCCTGCGACTGGCAATGACTGGAAGTTGCTGTACGCCAAAAGCGGCATACCATTCATCACGGACTCGGTTGACAAAAAAATGGTGCATGACCATTTTCCAGGAGACCAGCACTGCTGACGTCGTGAAGAAGAGGACAGCAGCCTCCGAGTTGGACATTTCCAAGATCAGTGGAGGTTCCGAAAAACCGGCTGGTCAAGAGCGTTCTCAGACCATTGCGCCATCGATGCCAGGTTTGAGCGCTTCAGACAGCGCGCTTCCTACGTGCCTACGGAGGCCGCGCCCGCGACGCGCCTCCCACAGCGTCGGCGGACGCGCCTGCAACGCGCCTTTACCAACGCGCCCGTGGACGCGCCTGCGACGCCCCCGGAAAAACGCGCCTCCAAAACGCGCCTCCAAAAACATGCCCGTGGGCGCGCCTGCCACGCGCCTCCAAAAACGCGCCTGTGGACGCGCCTGCCACGCGCCTCCAAAAACGCGCCTGTTGACGCGCCTGCAACGCGCCTCCAAAAACGCGCCTGTGGACGCGCCTGCGATGTACAGGGCCACGCCTTTGGTGCGCTTGCTTGCCGGGCGGCGTGCCTGGATCGCAGCCTGCGCGCGGTTACTTCATGGCAGGGCGCCTGAGCACACGCCCAGCCCGCCTCTTCTATACGCCTGTCCTGTCCTGCGTCCGGTCCTTGCACGCGTCCGTCCATCACGTCTTTGCGGCGGCTGCGCCTCGCACGCGCCTGCAGACGCACCTGAGACGGCCACCGTGGTCGCGCCTTGGAGACGTGCGTGGAGTGCCTGGCAAAGGCGCCTGATGATGAGAAGACTATAGAATGCGGCCGAAGAGGTGCGTGGGGGCACGTAGTGCTGGCGGGTCCTATAGATGCTGCGTGCCACGCAGACTGACCGAAAGCGCTTGCCAACTAACGGGGGTCGTGTGGGGTTACATGGAACGATCCGGAAAGAACCTTGTGGGAACCTTGGAGCAAAGCTGTCCTGCGTTCTCATGGGATCTTATAGCCGTGCATGGGAAGCACGTCCTCCGGCGTTGTTACTAAGGCGTGTAGCAGGCGCGTTTTCCAGCGGTCTTCTACAGGCGCGCCGCAGGCGCGTCGCAAGCGCGGACGATCGGGATCAGGACATGGCCGCTGACCGCAGAGAGCGCGCAGACGATAAAGGACAAAACATTACAAAACGTTGTCTTGAGGCTATAAGGTGGGTTCTCCGGCGCCGCGCCTCCAGTGCGTTTCCCAGGCGCACTTGCCAGGACCAGGACGAGCGGCGCAAGTATAAGGGAAAGCGAGCGAGGCGCGTCGCCAGCGCCCCACCAGGCGCGTCATAACGCAGGCACTTGCTTGCTTAGCCGCGCCCGCCAGGACCAGCAGCGTAACTCCGCGGACAAGGACACTTGAAAAGGGGGCAAGAACTATGTAGGGGCCTGGGCGTGTCCTCAGGCGCACTTTTCCAGAGGAGGAGGGCAAGGATAATAAGGATAAGGGAGACGTGCGTTCGAAACGCGCGTTTGTAGGCTAGCTTTTAATAGCGCAAGGACGCGGACAAGGACAACGGAAAGGGAGACCACCACGTTGTGAGGCACGTTTGCGAAGCGCGTCCTCAGACGCATTGGCCAGGACAAGGATATAATGACGTGGATAGTATCGGAAAGGGAAAAGGCGCGCTTTTGGGCAACTCGACTGATACAGGCATTCTTGGAACGGGCTTCAACTTCTAAACGCATTGTGGACAGGTCGTTTCGAGCACCTCTATGTGGATCAGCGTGTGTCCAACCACCTGCTGTGACAAAGCTGATGACAGGTTATTCAATGAGGATACCTTCCATGCCACAGCGTTTGCAACCGTCACGATAAGTATAACGATATACCTTCCAATAAATAAGTATACCGTTTGCACAGCGTTATCCGTTTGCGCAGCGGATACCTTCCAATAAGTACACAACGCCACAGTCACGATCTTGCACTGTGGTGTTCATTTTAAGTGGTACGGTGTATTCTGCCGGATTGTGCTGGAGTGCGCTGCATTGACGTGACTTTTGCTAATGCCGGATTATCCTCGCCCAACAGCAGCATGCTTTGGGGTCTTCAGCCATAGTTCCTCAACAGCAGCATGCTTTGGGGTCTTCAGCCATAGTAAAGGTTTCGGAGCAAGCCGGAGCAGCTCCCAAAGACATTCCCCCAGGTTCCCACAAGGTTCCCACAAGGTTCCAAGGTTCCCGCCAGGTTCCCACAAGGTTCCCAACTTTGTTCCACAAGGTTCCCCCAAGGTTCCCACAGCTTTGCTCCAACGTTCCCACGAGGTTCCCACAGTTTTGTTCCACAAGGTTCCCGCAACTTTGTTCCACACCCAACGTTCCCACAGCTTTGCTCCAACGGTCCTACGAGGTTCCCACAATTTTGTTCCACAAGGTTCCCACAACTTTGTTCCACAAGGTTCCCACA